TCCTCTCTCCTTCTCTCTTTCCTCCCTTCCTTCCCCCCCCCCCCCCCCCCCCCATCTTGCTTCAGTTTTCCACAGAAAACATTTCACAGCCTCCCATTCACTGTCATCTCTGTTGCCTTTCCATCGCCTGCTCTTTGCACGTCCTGTTTCTCATGCTGGATGCTTCCTGCCTCTTAAACCCATCACCATTTCAGTTCTACTAGTACCATTTCAGATCTCCTCTACCTTTCGCTGAAAGCTATCATCTCTTATCACCGGCATTGCTCTGATGCTGTGCTCTTGTACCAGGTGTCTTCCTGAGTCTGCAAAAATCCCCGATGGGAAGCTACTGATGATCTCACCAAATCCCTCCGCCTTGCTTGTGAAATCAGTGGACAATCCTCTAACGTATTCTGATCGGCATGGCCGGGAATGTGGGCAGCTTGGCAATAGTGACTTCTTGTCTGCTCCTCCTTGAGCTCGCGTTTGCAACCAACAGTCATGGAGCTCCTTGCTCCACCGCGAGTCACCGACTCCCTTCCACAGCATGCCAGTCTGGGATCTGCCCAGGTCAACTCTCCACGAGGTTACGTGGGGGCCTGCAGATCTCATCCAAGATGAGTGAGAACCAATTCACGTACAAAGATCAGCTGGTGAGGCATCTCCCTTGCCTGATGGCACCTCCTTCCCCCGCAAACTGACTGGTGAGCAGATGCTGAACCAGTACGCGGGTCTTAAGAAGGAGGTCGAGGACCTCCAGCAGGAGTTGAAGAAGGATCACGAAGACCTCGAGAGCCTCCGAGACGCTCTGGATGAGGTGAAGCTGCTGGGAGGACGAAGTCCCTTCCTCTTCCTTCCTTGACACCTCGGCGCAGCTTGAGATCTACAAGTGCAAAGCTCCTCCAGAGTTCGAGTGCGTTCCCTTTGCGCTTAATCCTGCGCCAGCACTGACGTGTGTCTGTTGGTTTCAGCAAGATCCGCAACTTGCCCCCTCCACTACAGTACTGATCCTATGAGTTCAGAGTCAACAACAGATTGACTCGTTGCAGGTTTCGGTGGGGAGAGACTTTCTCAACGTGGGACCCACAAACTGTAGGAGACATTCTTGAGTCACAACTGAACGGATTGGAGACGATGGTAGGATGGAAATCGAGAAGTAAGGTGTTATGACCATGAGAAGGTTGAGCAGAAGGAAGAAGATGTTGAGACGTATCTGAAACGGAAGGAAGAGTTGAGAGAGAACTTAGAGGTATGGAGATGCTTGCTACCTTAACTAGAGCTGATAACAATGGCAGGAAAGATTCGGAGATCTTGTGACCTTCTCAAGTACTGACGAGGAGGATGAAGAAACCGAAGAATGATCATGCGATTTATGCAAGTAAAACGAGAGGAAAACTGAAAATGGGAAAGCTGTAAATGGAATATCTCACGGTCCACCATAAAAAATTAAAGAACACCGTCTTGATGTGAACAAAGAAATACACAAATATCTGATCGAAAACTCTAAGTTTCATCTACGTCTTCTTCATCCGGACCAGACTCACTTCCTTCCTCTTCTTCGTCTGAATCTGACTCCCCTCTGGTATCAAGATCGCGAAACCGATGGTTGAGGTTTTCTTCAATGGAGCTTGAGCTGGATTCATCGTCCGATCCCTCCCCCGATCCCTCTCCAGACCCTTCGCTGTCTGATTTCTTTGACGCTCCTTCACTTTCGCCTCCATGTCCTCGCCGCGCAGCTCGCTCTGCGCTCCACGAGTCGAAGAAGCTCTGTTGCGCAGCCACCTGTCATGGTCCTCAGTCACTCACATCATCACCCGCATCCCTCCTTCATCTCACCACACTCGCGCTGTCTGTGCAGCTTGCGTAGGCTGTAAGCAGCTCCTTGTTCAGGTCGATGAAGCCTTGGCCCCACTTGAACTTGCTCAGTATGAGGTGAGTTTCCTCCTGGAAGCCAGCGATGAACAGACACGCGGCGATGGCCTGCGAGGCGTCTCAGAGAGCTGAGCAGCATGACGCAGCAAGTCATTTACCTCTACGCACGTCAGCTTGAAAGGCCTTCCATAGTTGACTGGGTTGGCAGCCACAAGGAACGGAAGCAGCCTGGGCTGCCCACCCTTGAGGGTGTGAAAGGGCATGTCATCGACCTTGACAGCGATCAGAGAGCGAGCAGAACAGCGACAGACGGCACCTTGTTCCAAGAGCAGTCAACCACACAGATGCCATCGCTCTGAATGATGTCTCTGTCCATGGGGCACACTGATTGGGTGGCGGAGGGAGTCAGGACGATAGCGTTACCCCTGCACCTCTGTTGAGGCTTCAGCTCTCGGATCCATCCTGCTCTTGACAATTTCTTCCCCGTACATCGCTTAGCGTCGCACTGGCCGAAGTCCCACATGGCCAGCGGCAGCGGGAACCTCCTCCCAGCTGCATTGTCAGCATTTTGCCCCGGGATAAGAAGCTCGTCCCCTTCTTCATACACACGCCTGGAATGAAACCTGCTTCCTGTCCCTGCTGTCTTTGCCCGACCTCGTCCTCGTCCTCTTCCTCCCATCTTGTGAATCTAGGTTCGCGTGCCTGAGACCATCCAGTCAGAGTCACATCAAGAGCTGAGCGGCCTGTTATTAGTCGGAGAGCCGCATCTTTCAATGAAGAGAACGAAGTGCTCACCCTCCTCCTATAGACAGCACTTGATTCTTCTCGATAGTATGCCATGTACTCTATGACTTCATCTCCTTCCTCTCGTCCTATTTTTCTCCTTCCCTCCTCCTCCCCTCCCTCTTCCCCTATCTGTCCCTGCAACATTTTCAGCGCCGTATTGCACGTGTGCGCGGGCCAGCCCTCACACCTGTCTAAATATTTGAATCAAATCCAATCTAAATATTTGAATCAAATCCAATCGAACTGCTTCAGATTGAATCGAATGAAATCACAAAATCACCCCGATGAAAGCTTTGCTCAACGTCCTCCCATTCTCTTCTACTCTCCTTCCCCTCCCTCCCTTCTCTCTCCTCGCTCCTCCCTCCTCTCTCCTCCCTCCTCCCTCCTCCCTCCTCCCTCCTCCCTCCTCCCTCCTCCCTCACTC